CAGCATCATTACTCCAGTCTTCAGTGTCACAATCTTCAGAAATCAGTCTAATATGCTGATTTGCTGCTCAAGAAACTTTTTATATTATTATTATTATTAATGTTTTTTGAGCAGCAAATCAGAATGATTTCTGAAGGATAGTGTGACTGGAGTAATGATGCAAAAAATGTAGCTTTGAAATCATTATAAATTATATTTGAAAATATATTCAAATAGAAAAGTTATTTGAAATAGCCTAGTCAAAATATTTCTAAATGTTACTGTTTTGCTGTACTTTGGATCAAATAAATGCAGGCTTGGTGAACAGAAGAGACTTCTTTAAAAAACATTAAAAATCTTACTGTTCAAAAACTTTTGACTGGTAGTGTATAGTCAACTTTAATTTTTCTCTCATTTCTAGCTTTTAATTGGCTTAGAAATCAGAGAACTGCTGGACAATAACCAATAATAATGATTTGCTTATATACTACAAACACTTTTTTTTTTTATCCCATAATAATGCAGAATAGTTTCAATACTGTAATAAATGCTGTCAGTTAGCACTGCATTGTTCATATACTTTATTTATTACCTGGAGATGACTTGACAAACACAAATAAACCATATTGTCGCAATCGTATGTTTAAAGTCTTCATGTTTCCAAACGTTTCTGTTTTTCTGAAAACAACAGTTTTCATACAGCCATAGCTGAATGCTTTTGTCCATATTAAGAATTTCCTCATACGACTTTCTGAGCGAGAGCTTCCTCCGGCTTCGAGTATGAACGAAACATACACTGCATGGAATTGTGATGTTCATCTCGCCTTATTTTGGGTCCGAATAAAACATTAGATCATGCACAGACTACCCTGTCTCTTTGAATTTAAATCTATATTTATTCACACAGGCTCTTGAAAAGCTCTATGCGAACACACTTTCCTGAAAAAGTGCGGGGGACGAATTTACGTGATATTAAAAGTGGGGGGGACACGTCCCCCGCGTAATCTACGCCCCTGATGCACTGTCTCTCTCTCTCAGTATCTGGTTGACATGACTGTGCATGAATTGTGGTATAACTTTTGTGTCCGTGGTTAAAACAGGCAAAGATGTACATTTTTTTGTACATTTTTGTACTTGATTGATGCTTATAATGAAATTGTGGTGTGCCTCATGGCAGGCGTGGCGTACTGGTGTGTTCTGCGCAGACTCATTGGCATGATTGAGAGCAAACATGAGAGGTCACGGGCCTACGGCAGGGGGTGGCCAAGTAAAAAATTAAAAATCTCCAAAAAATCGCTAGTTTTATTTAAATATAGCTAAAATAGCTCCTTGTCGCAAAAAAAAAAAAAAAAAGTCGCAGCTACAACGAGAAAGTAGCTCAATTTGGCGACAAAATCCCCAAATTGGCAACACTGCTCGTCTGGAAAAAAGTCCCGAAACAAATCAAGAAAATTAAGAAGAGGTCTAACGATAGTGTTTGCACCAGCGACCAAACGTGGATAACAGAAGTTCCCAATATAACACACAAAGGAGGGACTGAATTAACGTCATATAGCATGAGGGTCCATTGGGGGGTGGACAAATATTTATTGAACCAGGACAAGGTCTATGTTTGCTCGGTAGGTTGCAGGGGTGATCATTGTGGGACCCCTGTAATCAGTCCAACATTCCCCTGCTTGCGACACCCCTGAGCAAACGTACTGCTAATATGTATCCATGCTTTTAAAAGTACTCCAATGCTTGCAATATATATATATATATATATCACTTTAAATCAGAATTAAGCGAGAAAAACAATCTCTTAGACTACTAGTGAAATGTAGTGACATGAGAGATGGGAAGTAGCATTGCAGAAATGCTTGAAACATGAGATGAGCTACTGAGCGTGAGAAAATGTCGACCAAAAACAAGACATAAGAGGTTTAGGCTTCGTGATTAAATTATCACTGGTAGGCCTACAAACAAGTTACACAATTAGGTTGAAGACATGCCTCACAAAAGTTAAATGTATAAATGTGAAATCATATTACTATTATATTACAATTACGCACAATGTCTGTAATTTTATTTATAGGCCTACACAAAGTCTCATTTTTTATTTGACTTTTTTAATCTATTCATAGATAATACAAATGAAAGTAAACTTTAAAGCAAACTAGTCTCACACAAAAGATTATCAAATATCAGACCTTATTCATTCATTGATACCATGCACACTGATACCATGTACATTAAAGCAAAAAAGTGTGCACGCCAATGACGACGCACGACAGAAGAAGGGTCCAATAAAAACACGGGAAGGAGGGACTGAATTAAAATCAGATGACAAGCAGATGACTATTGCTGTCACATGACTGTAGTCAGCTGTTTTCCTTAAAGTTGCTAAATTCATTTCTAACTAGAAGTTCACATATATTACATGTTTCTGACTATATGATATATATATATATATATATATATATATATATATATATATATATATATATATATCTCTCTATAACAAAGAAAAGACTGTAATTTTATTTATAGGCCTACACAAAGTCTCATTTTTTATTTGACTTTTTTAATCTATTCATAGATAATACAAATGAAAGTAAACTTTAAAGCAAACTAGTCTCACACAAAAGATTATCAAATATCAGACCTTATTCATTCATTGATACCATGCACACTGATACCATGTACATTAAAGCAAAAAAGTGTGGTTTTAATCAGTAGTTAGTGTTTAATTTCATTTGAAGTCTGACCAGCAAAGTCACCATGGGCCCTTTACAAACAGACTAAAAGTAATACATAAAAAATTATATATTTAGCCAAAATAATTTAACCAAATGTAATGATTCAAATGATGATTTAGAAATTAGGAAATTGCCACTGTTCTCATCAGGCAACAGTTTAAAAGTGCATACTAGTTTGCATATGTATGCACTATTCTATGCCGTTTTGTAGGATAGTGTAAAATAGTGCGTTCACACTGAAAATAACAAAAAGAAAAAGTGCATTTTAAATGTGTGGAACGTTGGACACTTCATGCACTCAACTGTTGCAACTTGTAGCCTACTAACTCGAGCACATTATTCAGCCTAATTAAAGGGATAGTTCACCCAAAAATGAAAATTCTGTCATTAATTACTCACCCTCATATTGTTCCAAACCCGTAAGACCATTGTTCATCTTCGGAACACAAATTAAGATATTTTTGATGAAATCCGAGAGCTTTCTGACCCTGCATAGAAAGCAACGCAACTGACACGTTCAAGGCCCAGAAAGGTAGTAAGGACATCATTCGAATAGCCCATGTGTTAGAAAACACTCTCTGTCTTTCTGTTGAGTCCAGACATGTCTTACCCCTCCTTTTTCTCCCTCTCTCTCATTCTTATATATACAACGCATTCTCTCTGAATTCCTCCTTCTGTATCCATCTCTCTCTCTTGATATTATGTTTTAAATATGTCTTACTTATATGCGAAGTATGCATGCTTAAATGTATACATTAGCTTCTCTTGTGAAATCAATGGTTCAACCGTAATGCTATGAAGCTACGAGAATACTTTTTGTGCACAGAGAAAACAAAAATAACGACTTCATTCAACAATTTCTTCTCTTCTGTGTCAGTCTCTGCCGTGCTTTCACAAGAGTACCACGACGCATGCGTGTGGTGCTGCTGACGCAGGAGAAGATGTGTTCCATTCGTGACAGCTGAGATAAAAAATAAAGATGGCATCTAAAAGTTGAGGTTGATGGTTAGTTTGTGTAAATGTATGTTTTTCATAAATGTATGTCTTTTTTCACTTTTGATGTAATTTCTAGCAAGAAATTAGTAGTAATTAAATATTCACTCACTCGCTCTATTTTGTTTTAAATCATTAAACTTCATGCACAAAGGTTGCCTGCAAAGTCATTGCCTGATAGAGCAGCGGGGCAAGTCAGCTGCCTAAGCTTTTGGACACAGCCAAGGTCTTCAGACTCACTCAGGCATGTGTGTTGAATCCTCAAGAATAAAATCTTTTTATTTAAGATTTTTTTATATAAGATTTTATTTTGCCATTATATTGGTGAAATGCTGTAAATTTCTGCCCGCGAAAATGTTGTAAAATAATTATTCAAATGTGTAACAGTGAGGCCAGTCCACATTGCATTCTTAAATAGATGTTAAACTCACAGCAAATATAGACATGGAGTTGGCAGCATTGTGAAAATTGCAGCTCTGATTTGCTGAAAACAGAATAAAAAAAATAAGCTGACAAAAATAAGCAGCTTCACTCAGAAACACACAGAGCAACAGGCTATACTGTACAGTTATGTAACTGGAGTTGGAAATATCGTTATTATGAGTTCTGAGCATATGAATGTCAAAGTGAAGTTTTATTTACTAGTGGGAAACTCTGATTGCAAGATAATACACAAGTTGCCAAGTTGAAAAATAGAAATGATAGAAATTAATCATTGACATAATTTTTAATTCAGATTTCAGGTATTTGGGTTTATTATTCACAATATAATTATTTTGCTTTGATTAGGCTACATCTGTTTTTTCCAGCTTAAATGTGTGACATGTTGTTGTAATAATGAATGTCCAATTTTACTGTTCTAAATCACATCAATTTTCACAACTCACAGATTTCAAAACGGTTTTATTGAGTTTTTGTCTACTGCAACCAGTAACGTGTGATCATAGCACTAGCAAATAACAACAATCCAATGATCCAATCAATTTCCGATGGACAAAATCAAGTCCCAACCAAAATAGTTGGGAATAGGGAAGAAAAGATGATTTCAACTTCTGTTTTATGCAGACTTTAAGAAAATTTATTATTTTTCCCCCCGTTACATTTGCATGACAAACTCCTATTCTGTATCCTTTTCCCGATCTGGAATCAGTATACCTCCTCTCAACCTGGCCCTCTCTGCGTTTGACCAATCAGAAAAGTCATTGATACTGAGACTGTATGTAAGACCAGCTCTGTTCGTAGAGTGCACATGCCTGAGGAGGAAGAGGATGTAAAAAAGAAAACATGCATATCTTAAATTAGACAAGTTCACATATTGTTTACTGTACTTCCACACTGCAATATTTGTTGTTTTTCCTCACCGAAGAGAATGTATAAAGTAGTTCTCACGCTCCTCATGCTCCTCCCCCCGTTACATTTGCATGACAAACACCTATTCTGTATCCTTTTCCCGATCTGGAATCAGTATACCTCCTCTCAACCTGGCCCTCTCTGCGTTTGACCAATCAGAAAAGTCATTGATACCGAGACTGTATGTAAGACCAGCTCTGTTCGTAGAGTGCACATGCCTGAGGAGGAAGAGGATGTAAAAAAGAAAACATGCATATCTTAAATTAGACAAGTTCACATATTGTTTACTGTACTTCCACACTGCAATATTTGTTGTTTTTCCTCACCGAAGAGAATGTATAAAGTAGTTCTCACGCTCCTCATGCTCCTTCTCACTTTCATACTGACGATTAAACTTCTCCTTAAAGGGGCCAAACAGACGGTGGGCGTGGCTAACAGGGGAGGTGTTGACATAGTCTTGAATGGGGTTGGCCAATATTTGATGCTCCTCAACAGGATCAGGAAACTCTTCACAGGTCATTCCTAAACACATAATACCTCAGTGAATCTCTGGTGATCTGTAAGTGTAAAAGAAGCAGACAAAGGCTTGGGACACAGTAGACGATTTTCAAATTCTAACCGATTTTAAAACCATGGGAGACCACAGAAATGAAGACCGTTTCAACTGATTTTTAGCCTTATAATCTTCTGAACGTGCACACTAGATGAATCGACCAGACCGCAACACCACACACTTGTTGATTGTAGGAACAATTTCACAGGGACACAAAATCTCACAGAGACTTGTGAGATCAAACGTGACTAGAGAAGAAAGACACATGTAGGACAATCGATGCTGTCAGCTGGCTCTCCTGGCGCGCGTTCTGTTGTACAGCAAAAAAACTAAAGAGAAAAAAAAAAAAAGAATATGGGTGATGTTCTTTCTCAGTACTCTACTTTCGTGGCATATTTGTGGCTGCCAAGTTTTAGCTATAGAAGCGCACAACATCTGGTAGGTGAGGCTTGCTCACTCTGTGTGTGGTCAGCTAAAAGCATTTCACTGAATGTTTGTTTTCCAGTTACCTCCAGATGGTATGAAAATGTCAGACTCAGTTTGTGGGCTGAAGTCACTGTAGTCAATAGTGTATTTGTCATTGTGGGACTCCAAAAGAGTGTTGAAGCCCACCATCTCAAAGCGGTGTGGGGTGGCTGGACGCGTGACCCACAGACGATACGTGTTCTTCTTATGGCCAACCTGTGTGACATTTTTCCAGACCTCACACAGAACACCTTCATAATTTTCCATCTTCTCAAACTGCAACAGAAGAAAGTAATTTAGGTTTGAACGAAATGATTTCATGACATTTTCATTTTTATGTGAACTGGGCCATTAAGTAGTACAAATACTTCAAAGCCCTGCAGATCAGGCAGTGCTGCCTGTGGACGTATTGGACCCTCCTGGGTACCGTTAAGTTGGAAACACTTAATAGCTTGGATTTCTGTTGCAGTGTTGACTGGTGTGATCGTGTAAATGACACCATAGTCCAAGTCATTTCCAATCAGATAGGTACGCACTTTGCCTGTATAGACAGCATCAATGATGAGAAACTACATGCAAAATCTATTTTGATTGCAATACTGTGTGACTTTATCTTGAGAAGATCACTGACCATTACGATAGTCGATTCGACTTCTGTTCCCCTCAAGGTCGTACCAAGCTTCAAACGGTTCTTTTATCTCCGAATGTGGCAGAGAGAGCTCACCTACATAAAAGCGATATGTAATTGTAAAATTAACTGTCCTGTACTGAGATGTACTGTGTGTAATTTAGACAACAATTTACCTTTGACATGATACAGTTTTCCAAAATTGGGAACTCTTCTGCAGCCAATTGGTGTGGCATCTTAGAAAGAAAATAAAGAGAAATCACACAATTCATTTAATCAAATGAATTTCTAACTAAAAACACAGCCAAATATACTTCTGCGTTTTCTTCCTGCTGTGTGCCATTTTCTCCTTTACATAGACAGCACTTTACCTGCAGCACACACCAGCAGCACATTCCCAGCTAGAAGAAGCCACATAGTGTAACTAAAGAAACCAGTCAGACATCCACTGGAGATGTTAATAAACTCTCGTCTGTCTGGAAAAAAGTCCCGAAACAAATCAAGAAAATTAAGAAGAGGTCTAACGATAGTGTTTGCACCAGCGACCAAACGTGGATAACAGAAGTTCCCAATATAACACACAAAGGAGGGACTGAATTAACGTCATATAGCATGAGGGTCCATTGGGGGGTGGACAAATATTTATTGAACCAGGACAAGGTCTATGTTTGCTCGGTAGGTTGCAGGGGTGATCATTGTGGGACCCCTGTAATCAGTCCAACATTCCCCTGCTTGCGACACCCCTGAGCAAACGTACTGCTAATATGTATCCATGCTTTTAAAAGTACTCCAATGCTTGCATTATTGGTTGAAATATGCAAAAGCCATTAGAACTTATATGAATTAAATTAACTAAACTACCGGAATACTCTTAGGGAACAAATTGAGGGCTGGCCAGCTAGTAGAGTGTTGTATTTGAGTTTGTAGGTAAAAAGAGACAGTTTGTACGTTACGTAAGGCACTGTTTACAATGGGCTGAAATTCAACATGTTGAGCACTGATTTACAGTGATAACATTAAGCTATTTCCTTAAGAAATAGCTGATGAATAGGCTATACAAATACTAAATAGAATTATATTCTTCAAAGTTATACAGATAGATCAAGGATCCAGATCTCAAAAGGACTAGTTGTGCCGTGTTTATTTGGCAGTAGACTATAGTGATGTGTTGTTCTCTATGAGCCGGCTCATTTAAGGGAACGATATGAGTCAGCTCACAGCATTGTTTTTTTTTACCTTCTTAATAGAAAACAAAATAATGGGGTGATTTTTGACACTGCTTGTTGGCATGCGCACTTCATGTACTGACTTACAACTGATCCTTGAACCAAGCTTGGATGTATTGCTTGGTAAATTTGGATGTATATACTTTGGGATGGCTGTCCTGCAGGACAGTCTATTGATCAACAAGCTTCAGTCTCTGCACTGAAGGCATTACAATCTTCATCATAATGGTCCGATACTTTAAAGAATCCATGATGCCCTTCATACAGTAAAGATTTCCACTTCCTGCAGCAACAAAGCTTCTTTCTAACTAAAACACACAGCCAAATATACTTCTGTGTTTTCTTCCTGCTGTGTGCTGTTTTCTCTTTTACATAGACAGCACTTTACCTGCAGCACACACCAGCAGCACGTTCCCAGCTAGAAGAAGCCACATAGTGTAACTAAAGAAACCAGTCAGACAGCCACTGGAGATGTTAATAAGCTCTCGTCTGCAGTGTTGCCAAACCCCTCCCTCAGAAAATCTCTAGAACCACCCTCAAAAGTCTCCATTTTTCACAAAAGGTCGCCAAATATGAAAACAACGTAAATACAGGTAAATTTGGTAAAGGTAGAGGAAAGTAAATATATATATATATATATATATATATATATATATATATATATATATATACTTTACAAAGGTCTTGGCCTTCCTCTCTTGTTAGAGTTTGTCTGCTGAGAGCTTCAGTAAACAGGCTCAGACTCATATTCTGTAATGCTTCAGTCCAGGGAGTCGAAAAACAGATTGTCAGTGAAAAAGGTTTCGATTTCACGTCAAACACATAGGTTGAGTTTACGTACATAAGCTCTGTAAATAGGTTTCGATTTCTAATTCTCAACAGATGTGCACACACAGTCGGACCCCTCCGACCCACAAATCCAGCTTTAAACACTCAACACGAATTCCTCCTATAATACACACACACGCACAAGGGAAATCATTGCTCTGCATAGTTGTACACCTGAACAGTTAGCTCTTTATGAGTGTGTGTATTTCACCACTGAGACTCCACAAGCTACTGATGGCACTGATCCCATCCTGCTCTCCCAGGAGTGTATCCCTCTGTCCCACTGCGTGTATGCATGTGTGTGTGTGTGGCTCAGATAGGGAGTCTGACTTAGCAGAGCAGAAAAGCAAATTACTCTGAAGTTCACTTTGATGACTTGTTAATTTGATTGGTCAAGCATACAGTGCGAGCATGCGCGAGCGATTAGTCCATAATATGATTATTCTCATAAGACTAGACATAAGACCCTCCCAGTCCGGCGAAGCATGAAAAACCGGTTTAAAAAGCAATTCCTGCGTGCATACACACACTTTAATTGTTTCATTGTTTTATTACGATGCAGAGCGCCATCCTTAATGGTCAGAGCGCTCTGAAATAGTTACTCACCCGTGGCGGTGATGTGAAGTGAACGATCGAACGGACACGGTTTGATGCCGTCGGGCCGAAAAGAGGAGTGATAGAGTCGTTCCTCTTCCGCATTTTCTCTCTATCTTGAGGGCTAAACTAAGCGAGGCCGTCGTAATCAGCTGTGTCATATGGAGCGAGAATGGCACTTTATAACGCACACTGCACAGTTTACAGATAAACACATTAGAGTCATATTTCACCCTCCAGCACAATGACTGCCAATCAGCACTGCAGAGAGCCTGTGTGTGTGTGTGTGTGTGTGTGTGTGTGAACTAGAAGCGAGGATATGGCTCATTTATTGAACATTAAAACCAAACTCAGGCTAGGCATGGTAAAAAATAACGCCCAGAATGCCTCGCGCCGGAGCGTGGCATAAGTCGCGAGCGACCGCATTCAAACAAAGAGTGAAAAATAGCCCATGGTGCTAAAAGTCAGATTTAAATATTTATATTACTGCAGTGCATGCCGAAATGTCTCACCTATGCGGTGAGTGCACAAACACTCCGGTTTCAGACCTATGGAAAGAGCGAGGATAAAGATTGTTATTGACTGTGGCCCGGACTCATTTGGCGCACACCTCAAGGTAATCTTTCTAAATATTTGATTACCTAATACAATTTTGCTGGCCCCATTCTTTTTTCCCCATTATGCATAGAAATAGTGGTCAAAATTTATATAGGGAGGCATTGAAACACAGCGTTGCTCTCTCTCGCTTGCTTGCTCTAAA